CATGAGACATCAAATAAACAAATCCACAAGGGCTGCGATGAGGGTTCAAACTTACGTCTGAGATGATCCCAGACTGTCGATTCTAGTCAACTGCACCACGACATGGAAAAGAATTGCAACCTGGAGTGCTACTGCCCTCACACGGATCCTGCAGTCTCTTCAAGACACAAACCGGGGTTTTACACAATTCCCCCCATGCACCCGGGCTCTGTCAACAAGCTGTTCTACTTCTTCACCCTTACTTCAATATACTTGATTTGTTCATTTGATGTATCACCTATTGTGATTTCTGTGTGTATTGAAGTAAGGGTGAAGAGTTAGAACAGCTTGTTGACAGAGCTCAGACTTGAAGATTCACTATGTCCATGGAGTTCCACTCCTTACTGGAAGTCCTACTCCACCTTGCAGTTTAGTTCCCACTTGGAGTTTCAGCTCACACTTGGAGTTCAGCATACATTGTTCCTCTGGTACGAAGTTCCTTCACTAATTTCTCCCACACAAATCTGCAAATCCATCACCATGTCAATATAAAGTGTTTTCATGACCAATCATAAATAAACGTATTCACAGCAAATAAACTCCTCCACCCTTTTAAACACTACGGCACCGCCGAGGTGGGTCCTCCCCACATCCTGGTCGTGTCCACCTGGGAACATGTCTTGACATATCGCTGGGGCCGCCGCTCCCGTCACGACACAGGGAGGGGTGGGGGGGGGGGGGCAGTTACCCCCTCAGTCATCCACTCGAGAAAAGATGTACCACTCCTCCCTCCAGCAAGTTCTCCTATCTCTATTCTCTTATTTCAGTTCACTGGCCCAATAAAGTTACTACTCTATATATACAGTGACACCTTGGCTTACGAATGCCCATATTTACGAATTTTTTGGGTTATGAGCTCAATTTCTTCAGAAAAATTGAATCGGGTTACGAGCTTTGCCTCGGGAAACCAATTTGTTGATACGCATATGGCCAACCTAGCATGTGGTGGCACAGAGATTGCGCCTCAGTTTATCAGTGCTTCTCACCTAATGACAATCGTGCCTGAATTCTTTGTAGAGAATTAAATATTTTTTGGATTTTGGGTTATTTGAACATATTTTTTTTTATTACATATCTCACCATAGGTCCCAAGAAAGCCAGTGGTAAGGTTCAACCCAAGAAAACACATGTGAGAATGACCATAGAGGAAAAATAAGAGATCAATCGTAAACATGAAAATGGTACACGGGTTGTTGAACTAGCTAGGCAGTACAACAAATTTATGTCAACGATACAAACTGCAAACTTTTGTTGAAACGACTCACCCAGAGCAAGCTGTAGTAGGCCGTTGCATTAACTTTTTTAATGACAATGTGATGCCTCACTACAGACAAGTGTTACAATGAAGGGAAGAACAATCCTCTATGGATCGTTTTATAGTGAGAAAATCAAGCAGTGAGCCACAAGCAGATCCTAGTGGTATGCCTGCAAAACGTAGAAGAGATTACCCCAGAAAAGTCATCACTGCCTTATGTTATAATGGAAGGAGACTCCCCTTCTAAACACTAACACCTCTCCTCCTCCCCGTCTTCCATATGCCAACAAGAGTCATCAGTAAAGGTTAAGTAATAACTTGTATATACTTTAGTACTGAAGATTTGGGTGAATTTGGTATAAAATTTACTTTGAAGTTAATTTTTTGGGGAGTATGGTAAGGATTAATTAAATTTCCATTACTGTATTTCTTATGGGGAAATTCACTTCAGTTTACGAATTTTCGGCTTACGAACCATTTTTGAGAACAGATTAAATTTGTAAGCTGAGGTACCACTGTACATATGTTCACTATGATTGCTGGGCACGTGTGCACCGCTCCTGTGCCAGGTAAGTCCACTACGGGCTCACCATAGCCAGTGCTGCTTGCCCCGCTCCTGTGCCAGGTAAATTACGGGCTCACCATAGCCCGTGCTACTTGGAACTTTGTTCCGAGTGGCTGAATCTATAACAACAATAACGCTGGGCACACGATCAAATACTGGTAGCTAATCTAACAACTTATTAAACAGGCTTACCGCAGGGATCTATGACACAGGGTTGTTCAGGCCCTGGCGCTCACACAGGCCGCCCACAAAATCGCTATAGAACAGCTTCGCAAGGCTTCTTCTAGTCCATGACTTGAGTGCACAGAGTTGCCCAGCAGGCTCCACACAGAAATGCCTGCTTACTTCCGTCCTCTTGAAGGCACACAATTAGAGTTCCACAAAGGCACGATTAACACACTCCCAGGTCACCTCTAATATATGAAAATTACAGAGAAATGGTGTACTATGTCCCCAACAGCTTCCTCACACTTGCAAACAAGTAGCCTTCACTCCACCACTAATACAGGGAACTATATTCTTCCGCCTTCCAGGAGATCAACGAAGTACAGTCATCTCTGACGACTGCTGTTGCTCAAGTGAGGTCACGATGACCTGCTAACATCGATACTTTCGTGACTTGACGTGACATCTCATTTCATGTCGCTTAGTACCAAACACTCATCCTCTGTTTGTATTTTTAAATTATTCACTAGCGTTTATTATATATTTTCTCTCTCTGACCTCTTAATCTTAGGTCCGAAAAGCAGAATAACTCACTGGGGTAGACTTGTTCCACCCAGGCTACAGGGGGTCATAACACCGGGTGCATGGGGAAATTGTGTACGAGATTATGATCCCGGTTTGTGTCTGAGAGACTGCAGGATCCGTGTGAGGATAGTACTCCTCCCAGTTGCAATTCTTTTCCATGTCGTGGTGCAATCGACTAAGGCGCATCTGGGATCATCTCTCGGACATAGGTTCAAACCCTCATCACGGCCCTTGTGAATTTGTTCCTGCAATACTGTCTCCATCAAGTGCTCGTAGGTAAATCTTGTGAACTAATACGTGACCTAGTTAGAGAAGTTCCCAATTTTTATTTTGGTGACAGGAGGAAGGCCATATTTGATAATGCATAATTTGTTATTTCCAGCACTTGTGGATAATGGTACAAGTATAAACCTGTATAAAGGCACAAGCTTCTGGGAGAAGCTATAACTATCACCTTTATGTTTATGCCAAAATAATCTAGCATCATCATCTGCTAGATCATTTTGGCTAGCTGGGAACCTAGCAAAACCAGACTCATCTGCTGAGGATGAGGTACAACCAATACTGGACACAGGATGAGAAGGGTGAAGGACTCAAGGCCATGAGAGCACTAAGGGTAAACAATAACAAACAGTTGCAAACACATGAAATGTAACTGTCTTGGAGCATACAGTATATAACTACAAAACTCTGGAATAAAAATAATTTATCTGAGTAAGACACCACAAGGCTTCACCAGGAAAATAAAAAATCCAACTCCATCAGAAGATTTCAATGCATTTTTAATTAGAGCAACAGAGCCCAAATGGCAGCAAAAATGTTCAGTGATTTCGGGATATTTATGGATAGGAGGATATGGGCGAGAGTAAAAGTGAAAAGTGGAGAGAGAGGCGCGAGATGCGCGAGATAAGGTCACAGCTACGTACTAGTTCGTGTTGCTGGGATGGGAATTTAGGGATAGAAGAATTCATTGTTTTACTCTAATAGTTTAAGGTCTGCTCACATGAACACAAGATTAAGAGTACTGTATTATTTATAGCTAATTTTAGACAACAACATATCAGCTGGTCAACCAGCTATATATTTTTATATGTAAGGATTAACTTCATAATTGCAAATCCTTTCTTAAAACAGGAATCTAAATGCTAAAGTATCGATTGAAGTGGCAGAAACTCGAAACCGACACTCCAACAACAAAGCCAGTACAGCTCTGCTAAATTTGGTAAATGGGCAAAATCTTAAGGGGGGGGGAGAGAGAGAGAGGGAGGGGTGCACTGCACATTAAGAGAAAAACTTGTATAAGAAAGGTTCTAAATAAACCAAAAGTACATGACGGAAAGAAAACGGTAATTGTGAGAGATGCAAAGAAAGATGATGAACGGGGGTCCCATGAGGATCACTACTCAGATCCCTTCTCTTCCTGATTTGCATAACTTACCTGATTAAGTCCTTTCATTTATATAATTATTGGTAGACAATCTTGATATATGACATGTGAGGACTGCAGAATGTTTCAGGATGAACTTATGAAAGTTGTTAAACAAATGGTTACTAAAGCTCAATCTTGGTAAATGTCAAGTTATGAGAATGGGGAAGGGTAAAAAGAATGAGGTAGGCTCCAAGAGCTAGTTACTTACTAATAAATGCATGGGTAAGATAGAGCAGTGTGAACAAATCCACAAGGGCCATGATGAGGGTTCGAACCTACGTCCGAGAGGATCACAGATGCGCCTTAATCGACTGTGCTACGACATGGTAAAAGAATTGCAACCGGGAATTCAACTAACCTTGTTCAACTCGGTCAACTCAGTTCAACTTGGTCAGCCGAGCGGACAGCACGCTGGACACGTGATCCTGTGGTCCCGGGTTCGATCCTGGGCGGCGGCGAGAAACGATGGGCAGAGTTTCTTTCACCCTATGCCCCTGTTACCTAGCAGTAAATAGGTACCTGGGAGTTAGTCAGCTGTCACGGGCTGCTTCCTGGGGGTGGAGGCCTGGTCAAGGACCGGACCACGGGGACACCAAAGCCCCGAAATCAACTCAAGATAACCTGACCTCACATGGACCCTGCAGTCTCTCCGAGACACAAACCAGGGTATAAATACCCTGGTTATATGGGCAAAATCATTGGGAGGAGGAGGGGGGGGGGGGGGCACTGCACATTAAGAGAAAAACTTGTATAACACTTCTTCAACAGAAGGAATATTCTGGGATCCTCTCGGATGTAGGTTCGAACCCTCATCACAGGCCTTGCGGATTTGTTCATTTGATGTATCACAATATTGTGATTTCTGTGTGTAATAGAGCAGTGTGTTTTGCAATAAAGAACTGTTCAAAATGATGAATAAAATCATCAACTACTTGATATATTAGTCAAATAAAAATACAAAATGGCAGTGAGTTTATTTTATTTGAGAGTACAGTAATATATAAAGGAACACAACATATTTACAAAAGTTCCCGCTGCTCGGGAACAACAGAATTAGGCTCTTAGTGCGCTCCACATAATCCTCCTCAAATGTCTCTCTCTCAACATTTTCTATAATCTTGAACTTTGAAAACAACTTAAAAAGGTAATTTGTAAATGCTTTTCAGAAGTAAGAAAAAATACAAAAATATTAATTAGCTTAAAACTATAATGTGGAGAGATGATTACCCTCAAACACCGACCAATGCATATCCACGACAGGACTGCATCCCACCTCGCCAGCTGTCTACACAAGCCGCCCAAGTGTAGACACTAGCAACATGCTACGTGAACAGCCAAGACTTCTAGGTTTTAAGTCGTCATTTACAGACACAAATGCCTCATTGACCAACGGGTACTTTTACTGTGACATTTCAGGTCTTATGTCAACACATAACAGAAGCTGCAATACATGGCATGTAAAGTTTTGGAATATTTAGTGTGCAATGTCAAATCCTGACCTCAAAATTATTTTTACCTTGCTATACATGTTTTGAAAGATTTTTTTAATTTGTGGTCAATCTTAGTATTGATCACAATATATAACTGACACTTCATTGATAATAACTATCACCGTCATATTACGCCTGGAATGTCAAAATAAATTGTAAATTTTGTTAACCATTGTGTGTCAACTACATCCGTCTTTAACAATATGCTGTAACGAGTTCTTTTTTACAAAAAAAAAAAAATCCTTCACCAACTAATATTATAAAAGTTGCAGCTTTACTTGTTATATGCCTAATACTTCAGTACCTGCTTTGTAACCCCCCCACACTGCTTGCAACACAGCGCCCATCTCCATTACGAAGCTTCCCAATTGCCCGTCTCCAGAGAGCGAAGCTTCCTCTCTGCTTCTTTAATGGCTGCAGAATAATCTGTGGATCCTTGCCCAGCTTCTTTATGATCATTCCTTCTCACCCGCCTCTCCAGCTCCTGCCTTTCCTTTAATACATTTTCTAGGATTTTGCTTGGCTGTGAACTCTTGCCTGGGCCTACCCCCTTCCTCCATCTTTCCCTCCGACCACTCTCCCCAAACTCTGTTTCACCTCGCGCTGCATCACTCTGTCCTCGTCTTGCCATTTCTACACGTCTTGTAATTTTCCCCCCAATGTCATGAACTGTGTTGTCTTCTTTATATTTCAATTGTTTATTGGGCTGTGGATTAACAAAATATGGCTCTGACCTCTCCATATCCATTCTGAAAAAAAGATAAATGTGATATTATTAGAAAAAACTAACATGCCACTAACAACAGTGTGCACCAACAAACATATAGTTCCATCTCTGGTGTGGGCTACAACCCACACCAAAAAACATGTAAATGATCACAAAATTATATCCACATATATACAATTTTAGACATCTTTAGTGTAATTAACATATATATCAAAACTTCTGAAGGGTTATATTCAGTAACACTCGTCTTATGATGTATGCATATGATGCATGCCATGCATCATATGCATACATGTATGCATTATGGTAAGAATTTAGACCATTCTAAGAAATACTTTGTATAAAGCATTTTCCTGAAATGGAAAAGTATCTTTAATACTAAAAAATTAAAATTACATTTCCTCCCTAACAAAGTTTATATTGAAAAAGCTTGGAATACAATCCACTAGTGTGTGTTAATAATTAAGATAACACTGAAAAATGGTCTGTAAGTTATGAAGAGTAAGCTGTTATGAATCCATATATTTGATTCTAACATTTATCATGATAAACATGTATGTCCATTATTTCTTTCCTCAGTTATTTAAATGAAACATTGTATCCAGTTGTTATCCAGTATATATATGTTTGATTTAAATGTAGCATGCTGTAGTGTGCCTGTATTGAATATTTGGTTAATGCTATTGCATGTTCATTCCTGTGTGGGGAGACCATTGCATCTCATGGAGGCATGACCATATTTGGGATGCTTCAGTATGCGTGCAGTGTATCAAGCTAGCGTTACTGATTCACCCCTGTAATTATTCCTGTTTATTGATTATACTTAATTTCTTAATTACACCTTAGGGGTGTTATATGTATACAAGTTTAGTTATAATTATGTTAAAACAACAAATCCACAAGGGCAGTGACGAGGATTCGAACCTGCGTCCAGGAGCATCCCAGACACTGCCTTAATCGACTGAGCTACGACAGGGTAAAAGAGTTGAAACCGAAGTTCTACTGAACTACATGAAATCAGTTTCAAAGAGCCATATTTGGCAGAAAGAGTTTCAACTCTTTTACCCTGTCGTAGCTCAGTCGATTAAGACAGTGTCTGGGATGCTCCAGGACGCAGGTTCGAATCCTCGTCACGGCCCTTGTGGATTTGTTCATTTGATGCATCACGTTAGTGTGATCTCTGTGTGTTATAATTATGTTATTAAGTATTACTCTGATAGCAGAGTATCTAGAGATTTCATGTGGTTTTTAGTTGGTACCTTGTAGACACCATGCCGTGCATGCTCCAGCAACGCCAGTCGCGTGGGTAGAGCTGGCTGGCGTGGACATGTTGTTGAGCTAAGTCACTGGTTCCTGTTTATTGTTTAGTAACATAGCTAATTGCCTGGTTAGACCATTATTTGCATACCCATCTATTCATTTAAGTTTTAAAATAGTGATCAGTGCTTATATAATGATATTGTGTTATTGTATTCTGGTGCATTAATATTTCTGGCTGCCTGTATTTCCATTTATATGTTTGTTATGTTCTTTGTTACCCTTACCTTAAGTATATTGCTTTGTTGAGTAAGCAGTTGAATTATTTACCCTAGACACTTTTAGTAGGCATAGACGTATTATTTATTTTTTGACAACTACAAAAGCGGAGGAACCATACCCAGAGGTCAAGGGACATAACATAAGCCAGAAGTGTGGATGTCACCTCACCTGACATCAGGAGTGTCGTGGACACGTGCAGTGTGCATGTTATGCATTTGCCCCACCAGGCGTACCCACTGCAATTTATAATACTGTTTCCTCTTTAATGCCGCATTCAGCTGTTCCACCAAACGTTCCTAAAGAAAGGAGGACCAGTAATAATATTGGTTAAATTTCATTAAGTTCTAAAAAATAAAACAGGCTGAAAACAGACTTTAAAGGCTTTACACTTATAAATAAACTCAAGCACTGACAAAACAAGCTCAAGAGCACCCATCAAGATGTACACATGCACGAACAATATACAGTACTGTACAGTACTTAACAAAACATGTACTCAAAACTTATAAACTATAAGAAGATTCACAGGTCTAATAAAATTTAATCCAAGGTCTACAGTCAGTTGTTCAGCTCAGTGAGGAGATTGTAACACACAAGAAACAATTATGCTTGCATAATAAAATCACAATAATGTGATATATCAGAGAAAATATAGAAGCCATTAACCCACATCCTTGGACTAGTATGTGTGCCTGAGGAGCTCAGGAATGTGGGTTCAATCACATCGTATGGCTTCCCTTCCAGATTTTCTCAACAATTATGCTTGAAAATATCCAAGTGAAATTTTTGTAAATTACGTGAAAATTTAAGAATTAATAACGGCAAATCAAATTAAAATGTTAATTATTGGTTAATAAAACCAGTGTTGAATGTAATGGAACACCATTTTCTGGGTGAGCCCCGCAGGCTCCCAGAAGCTATCCGAACTGATATAGTGCTATGTTATTTTGGAGTCATCAGTCACAGGAGTCCTTTGCCTACCGGGAACCACTTCCTGGTCCCCTCAGAGGCACAGGTAGCAATGGCCTATGAGCACTTAACATTTAAAGTACTGTAGAAGCTTGCTAATCCGAATCCCGCCAATCTGGAAAATGCCCTAATCCGGCAAAAATTGTGACCGGGTAAAGTTATATCCCTATCCGGACAGAATGTCCATAGAGGCCAGACTACCAGATGTTTGTCTGGATCAGTGTATACTGATAGAGAGTTTGAAGCTTAAAAATCTCTCCAAAACCAAGGGGTCGACTTGCCGCAGAATATATCGTGAACCTTTACCACCGAGAGATAAACAAGTGAAATGCCTGGCCCAACACTCATTGTACACCACCACCAGGAAAGGAGGGAGTCAGGCAAGCTGGGAGGCTTCAGGCAAGTAAGAAGGCTGGAGTGGGTGTGGGTGTCAGAAGTGGGTGTAGTAACCACACCAATCACATTACACACCACACCACCCACTCACCCACCAGGGTGGGTAGGGTGTGGGGGGTGGGGGTGTTGGGTGTAGAGAGGGGTGAACTGTGTGCTAGAAGTGACTGGCATTAAGCCTACTAGGGGTGAGAGTCGGGTCTCCCTCAGACCCTCTGGGTCGTGGCGCAGTTGTTTACTCCTTATTTTTCTTTTCTTTTTGCTGTGAAGAGCTATTTATGAATATTAAAAACCACACCATAATATTTGAAAAGTATTGGTTGGCTATTTATTCATTTAAATATTTACAAGAAAATAAAATAGGGTTAACACAATGCGCATATTATGGAGTCATCATACATCGTACAGCAAGTGAGCATGTTGTCATCACTTGTGACAAGGGTTAGGAGGGTGATGGGTGGGGGGAGGGAGAGTCACCCACCTCCTGCCTGTGTGTGGCCACATGCCTGACTACTCGCCCGCCCACCCAAATCTGCATGCCCACTCACCCATCTGAACCCCCAACCCACCTGCCTACCCACTAAACAAATCTGCCTGCCATCCACCCATCCAGAACCTGCTTGCTCACCCATTCACCTGACCTGCCTGCCCACCCACCAAACCCATCTGCTTGCCATTACCTGAACCTGCCTGCCCACTCACCTGCCAACCACATCTGCCTGTCATCCACCCATCCAGCCCACCCACTCACCCTCCCTCCTGTCTGCCCACCCACTTGCCCTGCCCACCTACCAACCAGGCAGCTAACCACCCACCCAGCCCCACACACTAATTATAGTGTGTGGCAATTTAAATTATGTTGTTTGCGGTACCAAACATTTTTGGAAATGTTCACGTTTGGACTTCCACGGTGAAACGTCCTTTGATCCAGAAAATGGGCTCATCCGGCAAGGGGTCCTTCCCATGTAGTCTGAATTAGCGAACTTCTACAGTATGTTATAATTGCCATTAACCAGGGAAGGACCCAGAAAGGTAGGTGAATCAAAACAGACCACTGTCTGGTTAACCTGCGCAATCTACATCCCAAAGATCAAAATAACTCCCTAGAAAGAAACCAAACTAGGAAACCTTTATGCAACTAGCCCCTTCCCCCTGGTCATTAGTGCTACACCCCCCCCTTGAGGGGGAAGGGGGAGCTGGCAGCCCATCAATCCAATTTTTGAATAATGAAAACTGCCAACCAGAGGGACGGAGGGTGTCTTGGAGCCTCCAGGACTCTCCCAGACAATGGCATTTTATTACATTCAACATTCAACTAATCGTTTTCTGAGGGAAAAAGGTTTTCCCAAGGTTTTCTGTTGGTTCCCCGAAGCTAACCACACAAAGATAAGGAAAAGAGGGACTTACCTGGGAGGCAGTGGCACTGCAGGTCTCAAGGAAAGGAAGAGACGGACATGCCACAACAGGAGCCTCCAGAGTCACACAAGGCCATGAAGGAACTGGGACGTTCACAAGATACCTGGTGGACAGGACCCTGTTCAATCTCCAAAACTCCCTGCGCCCGAATGTCAACCCAAGACACGTTGCCACGGACAACCACAAAAACAGCATACTTCCTAACATCATGGGCATGAGGGTAGACCACAGGCCGGCTATACTTAATGACACTGCGGACAACCTGAGACACGAGCCCTGAAACAGGGAAACTGGAGCAACCCAGATCACATACACCGACACAGAATTGGTGGCCTACAGGTAGCAACGTAAAGCCACCACCGGACACAGCACGTGATACACCCCCAGCCTAACCAACCAAGCGTCCACAACCAACAGACCCCTCCAGAAGCCCATCGTCTCGTTCTTCGCCAGAAAAGAAGACGGCTGCAAACGAACAAAACGACCACCATGGCCAAACAAAAACCCCTGGCACCAGAGAAGAGCGTGATGCTCCCCCCCCCCCTCCCTGCCCAACAACAGAGGCCAAGGCCAACAAAACAAAGCTTTCCAGAAACAATTACGAGCCGAAGGGGCCACCACAAACCGAGGTGATCACATCAGTCAAGAACTGGCTGGTGGCGGCCTGGCTCCACCCTGGGTGGAGCTAATGAGCAGGATGGGGGGGGATAGGGTAGTTGAATGAAGTTTTGCTTGTTTGCTTTCTTTGTGGGAAAGATTTTTAATATTTTGAGGGCATGGGTCGCATTTTGCAACCAGACAGTAGTCTGTTTTGATTCGCCTATCATTATGAGTGCTTCCCTGATCGATGGCAAGATGACAAACTATACATGTAAAGTGTTTATGGGTCATTGCCCATAAATGTCTTTTAGTGCAAAATTTCTAGGAGAATATTTTGCAAATGATACTACTAGGAGTAAGTATCCTACAGAATCACATCTGAAATGTTTGGCAATTGCTATGCTTACTAATTGTTTTAGTAACACTCACCATTAATCATCCTCCCCTTCCAACCTCCTCCTGATGTGTTAATACGGCGTCTGAAACTCTGCCACCAGTAGACTACATGATCCAGTAGCAACAGGGAGCTTCCTAGCACCATCACACAAGCCCACATGTCTCAAATCAACACGCAAAGTCACTCTCCAGACATAACAGAAACCACAACATACATAAAAGATAAAACCTTAAGGTATCCCAAACTGAATCACTTGCCTTGTCTTCCTTCAGAGACTTAATCTCCTGCATTTTCACTTGATTCCCAAGTTGCGTAGCTTCTGCAGCTTCAGTAGCGGCTCTGCTGGCTGCCTCCAACTCCCGCACCTGCGGCCAACAAACGACACCATTACAATTATACTAACACGTTCCATAACATACATGCCAAGTTTCAGGGGAATAATTATTAATACTACTCTTTTCAGGAATTAATTTTCTTGTGAACAGAGCCATAAAAAGGGAACAAAATTATTAGACATGTCAAACCTGTCTCTGCAGTTGTTTTCTCCTACTCTTTTCATTTTGCAGCTGTACTTGCAGTTCATCCGCCTCCTCCATTTTACGTTTTCTTTGTCTCTTGTCAACTTTAACTGATGCACTCTCTCTTTGCTTCAACTCACGCTTCTGCCTTTTAACCTCTTGTTGTAGTGATCTTACCTGTAATATAATTATTATACTGTACTCCATAATATTAATACAGGTACTCCAAAACAGAAATTATATATATACAATGGTACCTCGAATAACGAATTTAATCCGTTCCGGCGCCGTGTTTGTCATGTGAAACAGACGTCGTACAAAAGGAATGTCCCCATTTAACCACTGTGATGCGCTGTGTTTATTGTGAAATTCCCCCAGTGTGCATGACATCAAGTGTTCCCCCAAAAAAATTTTCTTTGTAAAATGATAAATTCCCCTCCCCGTACATGTCTATGTAAAAATAATTACCAAATTCCACTTACTTTGGCTGTGAGGGCGTGGACAAGGTGCGCTGTGACTTCATCAGGGGCTGGTTGCCCGTGTGTGAAGCTCCCAGACACGGTCGCGCGGGCCATTCAAGCACCGCGTGTTGCCACAAAAGTAATTTTCAAATATTTGTTCTATGTATTTCCAGTGCAGTTTTATTTATTTCTTTTATCGTATATGATGCATATTTGTGACGTTTACAATATGTATACAGTGGTACCTCGGAATGCGATTGTCCCTGTATGCGAGGTTTTCGGAAGGCGAGGTGTATTTACTCCAAAAATTTGTCTCAGAAGGCGAGGGTTACTTCGGGAGGCGAGTTTGGACGCGAGTTTGTTGATACGCGTACAGCCGACCTAGCGCGTTCGTCGCCCCTCCGCCCCGCCGCCCCTCAGTTTATTATTGTCTGGCGCTCAGTGACTACCCCCACATCAATTCTTCTCGCGGATTTTCAGTGTTTTGTTGGATTTTTGGTGATTTGTCTATACAATTTGTTATTATATATCTCACCATGGGTCCCAAGAAAGCCAGTGGTAAGGATAAAGGCCAGAAAGCTCCTGTGAGGATGACAATAGAGGAGAAACAAGAGATCATTCGGAAGCATGAGAACGGTACACGTGTTGTTGAACTTTGTAGGCAGTACAACAAAGCCACATCAACAATATGCACTATACTTAAGAAGAAAAATAAGATTATGGGTGCTAAAGTGGCAAAAGGAGTAAGAACATTAACGGCACAAAGACCACAAATACTTGAAGAAGTGGAAAAGTTGTTATTAATTTGGATACACGACAAGGAGTTGAGGGGTGATAGTGTTTCGGAGGCCATTATTTGTGAGAAAGCCAGGGTGTTGCACGAAGACCTTCTAAAGAATACCCCTGCAACGAGTGATGCAGATAAGAAAGAGTTTAAGGCAAGCAGGGGCTGGTTTGAAAAATTTAGAAAGAGAAGTGGTATCCATAGTGTTACAAGGCATGGGGTTATGTGATGTGATTATGGAAGGGGACTCCCCTTCCAAACAGTAACTCCTCTCCTCCTCCCCCCTCCTCACCTTCTTCCATACGCCTACAGCACTCGACAGCAAGGTAAGTAATAACTGGAACACAGTTTTGTAGGTTTATTTAGATGAATTAGGTAAATTAGGTATAAAAATTTAGTTTGATGTGGGGTTTTTGGGGTAGTCAGGAACGGATTAATTCATTTCCCTTTATTTCTTATGGGGAAATTAACTTCGGAATGCGAGTTTTCGGAAGGCGAGGCGTCTCCAGGAACGGATTAAACTCTTATTCTGAGGTATGCCTGTACAGTAAAATGTTCATAATGTTCCTTGAAACTGTGATACATGTGTCAGTAATGTGTCCACAATAAATGTTTATTGTCGCAATATTACGTGGTAATAATTCACTAAAATTACAATATGTACAGTTTCACATACTATTTACACAGTAACACACTGTATTACACACTCAGTACTTTGGAGGTGCTTAATAATCAACGAAGTACCTGGTTGATACCTGGTTGATGGGGTTCTGGGAGTTCTTCTACTCCCCAAGCCCGGCCCGAGGCCAGGCTCGACTTGTGAGAGTTTGGTCCACCAGGCTGTTGCTTGGAGCGGCCCGCAGGGCCACGTACCCATCACAGCCCGGCTGATCCGGAACTTCTCTTAGAAAACCGTCCAGTTTTCTCTTGAAGATGTCCACGGTTGTTCCGGCAATATTTCTTATGCTCGCTGGGAGGACGTTGAACAACCGCGGACCCCTGATGTTTATACAGTGCTCTCTGATTGTGCCTATGGCACCTCTGCCCTTCACAGGTTCAATCTTGCATTTTCTTCCATATCGTTCACTCCAGTACGTTGTTATTTTACTGTGTAGATTTGGGACCTGACCCTCCAGTATTTTCCATGTGTATATTATTTGGTATCTCTCTCGTCTCCTTTCTAGAGAGTACATTTGGAGAGCTTTGAGACGATCCCAATAATTTAGGTGTTTTATGTCGTCTATGCGTGCCGTATATGTTCTCTGTATTCCCTCTATTTCAGCAATCTCTCCTGCTCTGAAGGGGGAAGTGAGTACTGAGCAGTACTCGAGACGGGACAGCACAAGTGACTTGAAGAGTACAACCATTGTGATGGGATCCCTGGATTTGAAAGTTCTCGTAATCCATCCGATCATTTTTCTGGCTGACGCGATATTTGCTTGGTTATGCTCCCTAAACGTTAGATCGTCGGACATCATTATTCCCAAATCCTTGACATGCTGTTTTTCTACTATGGGAAGATTTGATTGTGTTTTGTACCCTGTATTATGTTTCAGATCCTCATTTTTGCCGTACCTGAGTACCTGAAATTTCCTGTAGTAGTCCATGGCACACAGCACGACTTTGCTCTCGTTGCATCAACTACAGATAGATTTTCGCTTCCTGTTTCATTGTTCTGTGTGCTTGCAAATAACGTACTCGTGTGCACCCTTGGCTTTAGTACTTGTAGGTGGTATGTAGCCAAGCTTGTAAAGCATAAGGTTGTATTGAAACGATTATAGGAAAAGCTCATATTGTGAGGTAGTCTTGAAAAAGATCGCATTTGTAAGGTCCCACACAGGAAGAGATTTAGCTAGCCTCAAAGAGTGTCCGTCAGTCAGGAAGAGATTCAGGCATTCTTGAAAATATCTATGGAAAACACCACCATGGAAGCCGCTAACACTGTTCATCTATGCTACTTGTATCAGATGCATCATCACTGAACGCAGAAAACGATTCATCTATGTATCATCTATATAAATTGGAGATGGCAAGGGTGGGGCTCAGAGTTACAACTGGATACGCTCGCTGTATCATCCTCATAGGTGCTGTATCACTTGCATCCGACCGTTGTGTTAAGTCCTTATTGTGCATAGCTTCACCAATATTATGACCCTTATGTTCTTCAAACAATAAGGTCTGAATTTCACCGACTGAGCGCAATCTTTCAACACTGTGTGGGACAGGTGTTTGAGAGCCAGAGGCATGTGTGCTACAAATGGTTGCTCACACAGTACTAACTCAGCCAGCAGCCCTTGTCTTTCATATTCGTTATAGCAAAAGGTTCGTTCAGTGTTTGTTGGGTAGGCTGCTCCATTATGACAATCTTTCTTTGTTTCAAATGTGTTCCATTTGTTTTGTATTTTCATTTACGTCTCAATAATGGAGCAGCCTACCCGACAAACACTGAACAAACCTTTATGGCATTTGTCCATTTTTCAAATTGTTTCGACTTTTTTTTTTTTATTTATTTATTTAAGAAACATGGAGCAGCCTACCTGCCGACCACCGAACAAACCTTTTTCTATAAGACAAATGAAAAATAAATATTGAACACGTTTGAAGAAAGGAAAATGTCATAATGGTTTGTTCAGTGTATGTAAAGTAGGCTGCTCCATTATTGAGACGTAAATGACAAATACAAAACAAATGGAACACATTTGAAACAAAGAAAGATTGTTATAATGAAGCAGTCTACCTGCCGAACACCGAACAAATCTTTTTGACATTTGTTGTACTTCAGAAATTTAATTTCTTTTTTTTCTACAAAAACGTCAATGCTTTGCAACATCTCAGCAGTCACCCCTTTATATCCCAGCATCATTAGCATCTTTAAACAAGAACAACATAATTTATGTGCATCATCGATGCAGCATGACCCCACCATGTGGTGTTGACGTTACTTATACGAGCTTTCACCATACGGAATGATTTGTCGCCAATCAGGCCGTTCCTTACCCAAAATGTTCCCCTTTTGGGGCGATCGTTATGTGAGGTACCACTGTACTCCATCGTGTCACATGACGCGATGCGCGATTTATTGCAAGTTACTCAACCCTTCATATGACATGTTGCGCAGTTTAAGGGTTAATCAAACATTTGTATGTTCCACTGAACATTTAGTACAAAATTCAATTTGTTCGGATCATCTGGGAATTCAATAGAGTGAGGTTCGTTAGAGTGAGGAGCACTGTATACTAAGTAAACTAACATAGTAATGTACCTCAATGCTAGTAGTGAGTGCCCAGGATTATGAACAGTAACAAATTCCTCACCTTCCCTCATATAGCATTATAACCAGTAATATATTCCTTACCTTCTCCTACACAGCATTATAACCAGTAATATATTCATTACCTTCTCTTACAGAGCATTATGACCAGTAATATATTCATGACCTTCTCCTACAGAGCATTATAACCAGTAATATATTCATTACCTTCTCCTACAGAGCATTATGACCAGTAATATATTCATTACCTTCTCCTACAGAGCATTATAACCAGTAATATATTCATTACCTTCTCCTACAGAGCATTATGACCAGTAATATATTCATGACCTTCTCCTACAGAGCATTATGACCAGTAATATATTCATTACCTTCTCCTACAGAGCATTATGACCAGTAATATATTCATTACCTTCTCCTACAGAGCATTATGACCAGTAATATATTCATTACCTTCTCCTACAGAGCATTATAACCAGTAATATATTCATTACCTTCTCCTACAGAGCATTATAACCAGTAATATATTCATTACCTTCTCCTACAGAGCATTATAACCAGTAATATATTCATTACCTTCTCTTACAGAGCATTATAACCAGTAATATATTCATTACCTTCTCCTACAGAGCATTATAACCAGTAATATATTCATTACCTTCTCCTACAGAGCATTATGACCAGTAATATATTCATTACCTTCTCCTACAGAGCATTATAACCAGTAATATATTCATGACCTTCTCCTACAGAGCATTATAACCAGTAATATATTCATGACCTTCTACAGAGCATTATAACCAGTAATATATTCATGACCTTCTGCAGAGCATTATAACCAGCAACATATTCCTCACCTTCTCTTCCCTCAATGCAACATTTTTCTCCTTAATGCCAACATTCAGTAAAGCAGATGTGAGGGTTTTGTGTAGTGTGTCGCACTGGTCGAGGCGACTCTGTAGTTGTGTCTCCACACTGCTGATCCTCTCCTGCCACTCCGATGCTAAATGGTTCTGCAACTCAGCCTCACGAGCACTCCACTGCAATTATGTCAAAAATTGTCAATTTATTTTGTTTTTACCGATTTGTTTTGGCAGAGCTACGAGTCTTGTTTCACACAAAGAAAACAAATACATGTCCAAGGCACTCTTTACAATATTCCCACTGCACAACACCATGCCCCAAATCACACAAACTACTCAGTCCATACCTCCAGCAACCCCCTCATTACACACATCAACCAAACACCAACTACACATGACCAAGATGAGAAACAAATACAGTAATGTCATTGATGGCCAGGACTCTTGCTAATGATGGATGTGTTAGTATGTCTATATTTCCTATCATTATTCTGTTTCCCTGAGTCATGAGTCATGAGGTGGAGAATGCATCAGGTGTATAGTGCTCTTCATAAATTGTCATATTCAGAAACAGAGTATTTACTCCATCCTTCCACACCAGCCCATCCTCTCGAGATGCTACGTCACAAAAAATTATGCACTAAATTGCCGAACCTTACGTTAACCTAACCTAACCGATAGGCCCACTAATAGAAAACTTAACAGGTCATCAATTATTGTGAGCCTTTATGATTTATATTATGCACATCATATTGTGCCATTAGGAATTTTGATGTCAATATAATGTATTATTTAAGAGAGCAGATTGTCCACACAACCTTGTCCCTATACCATATTCTTGCACACTATTCATATTCAACACCACTATATAACACATTCACTATTTCTTCCTACTGCCCTCCCCTGCCCTCAAATTCACTTGAACACACACACTTCAGCAGCCTACCACCATGTATTTGTTTAACATCCACTACTCAGGTACGGAAAAAATGAGGATCTGAAACATAATACAAGATACAAAACACAATCGAATCTTCCCATAGTAGAAAAACAACATGTCAAAGATTTGGGAATAATGATGTCCGACGATCTAACGTTTAGGGAGCATAACCAAGCAAATATTGCGTCAGCCAGAAAAATGATCGGATGGATTACGAGAACTTTCAAATCCAGGGATCCCATCACAATGGTTGTACTCTTCAAGTCACTTGTGTTGTCCCGTCTCGAGTACTGCTCAGTATTCACTTCCCCCTTCAGAGCAGGAGAGATTGCTGAAATAGAGGGAATACAGAGAACATATACGGCACGCATAGACGACATAAAACACCTAAATTATTGGAATCGTCTCAAAGCTCTCCAAATGTACTCTAGAAAGGAGACGAGAGAGATATCAAATAATATACACATGGAAAATACTGGAGGGCCAGGTCCCAAATCTACACAGTAAAATAACAACGTACTGGAGTGAACGATATGGAAGAAAATGCAAGATTGAACCAGTGAAGAGCAGAGGTGCCATAGGCACAATCAGAGAGCACTGTATAAACATCAGAGGTCCGCGGTTGTTCAACGTCCTCCCAACGACTATAAGAAATATTGCCAGAACAACCGTGGACATCTTCAAGAGAAAACTGGACTGTTTTCTAAGAGAAGTTCCGGATCAGCCGGGCTGTGGTGGGTATGTGGGCCTGCGGGCCGCTCCAAGCAACAGCCTGGTGGACCAAACTCTCACAAGTCAAGCCTGGCCTCGGGCCGGGCTTGGGGAGTAGAAGAACTCCCAGAACCCCATCAAGCAGGTAACTCCATATCTTTGACATTTTCATTCTTTACTGTATAATATATAATCTTCCTATACTACACATGCTTTTCACATTATCCATTTATACCACCATTTCTTGATTTCTAATGTTTATATCACGTCGTCGTCTTGCATCCGAACGTAACGGATTCATATACATTTTCTATGTATAGGAATATACATTTGTTCCATCTATACCAGTTTGTGAAAGGTTCGGGATTGTGCATGTGTGCGCTTGCACTATTATGTAAAATGAAACACTAATCTCATTACACATGAATTATTGTACAGTATATTTTAAGTTAACCCTTTAACTGCGCAACGCGCCTGCAGGCCTACGTCTGGGGTGCGCTATGTGCCTCCGGGTATTTGTATTTTTCACATTCCATTCATAACTCCTGCGGCTACATGGGGTTCACACCAGCTTCCTCAGGGCTCTTGTAAACAGACGCCATCTTTAAAAAAAATCGTGGTTCACATTCCTGGGTGTGAGAGCCTCAGTAGTGAGTGAGCAACCAAGGCCGGCGCACGCAGCATGAGCTCACAGCACTGCTGTTCAGCTTGTGACCACAGCATCGCCTAATAATGTCAAAATATATATATAACTTGTATTATTTAGCCATGATAGTATTACAGAAGAGCCTGAGTGTGATAATGACTGTGTACAATGTTCAAATATTAGTGATTCAATACTGTTCATGATGTTCACAGCGCTAGCCACAGCACCACAGCATTATTTTGTCCATCTAGGAATCTTTAAACAACTTCTTAGGTTCCTTTACAAAATAAACTTGTGGTCAATTATGTATTTACAGAATTTAGTGACCAGTATTGTGATAACAGCAGGATTGTGGTGATAACAAGCACTGTGCGTAGTATTGTGGGAGGAGTAATTGTGGTGAGGGAGCGAGGGAGAGAATCGAGGTAGCCTCACTGTGTGGCAGCCACTCTTGTTTTGCTCATCATACTACCTTAGTGGTTTGCTATGATGAACACATTTGTACATGGGTATATACAATGTGTGTATATAGTGTAGTAACAGCAACAGGAGTATGTTGGGAGGAGCTATTTTGGTGAGGGAGGTGACATAATCGTAGCGTCGTCTGCTGGCTGCTGTGTGATTTCTCATCAGTGTATGGTGGCCACTGTAAAGTTTGGACACAATACTGGCTTACTTGCATAGTTCAAGTGAATAAAACATGTAGATAGGTATACATAACATGTGTAAATAGTGTAATACAAACAATAACAGTATGGTGGAAGGAGCAATGTTGGTGAGTAAGATGTTGGAGGAGTGAGGGTGTGGCAGCTGACACTCAAAGAGTTCCGCGTGTGTTCATAGTGAATGTATATAGTGTGTGATAGTGTATAGTGTGTAAATACTGTGTAAATACTGTATATATACATAAATTAGCATAATACAATGGAAATATGTGCCGGATATGTGTACACATGTGTCATGCATGTAACACAGTGTCTTCGGACAGTATGGATGTTCTGCCATAATATAGTGTACGTGTTCATTACACATAGGATTGGCACGTAAAAGCATATAAAATGTATTTGGAACTGTGTGTAGAAAATGAACAAAAATATATTCGCAGCAACTCGCGCATCCTGCCCCGAGCGCCCTACCGGCCTCGGCGTCGTATGCCACGGACGACCCAGGAATGATGACGTCACGCACGAACTTACGGACCCCATAGCAGCTAAAGTACTTACAATTTCAACCTTCTGTTACTATACCCTTACTCAGGAAAGGGTTTTTGACACTTTAGAAACAGAAGAATTTTTTTCCAGAGATTTTATTTCCTGCACACTGAGGGGGGGGGGGTCATATTTGGAGGCCGTGCAGTTAAGGGGTTAAATATATTTTAATACTAGTAATAGGAGTTGCTATACTATTTTATTACTAATTTTTATGCAACTAACAACACGTTACATTTTGAAAAAGTTTACATACTTTTTTAAACGTTGTCAATTGCCATTACATTCATATCACAGAAAACATTTTTTTAGATACCTTATTTGAGCTTCTATTGCTGGAATAGCTAACCCTATATTACCCGACTCCTCTATCTTAAAAAGCTAATATTATATACCAAGCAGCTTAACATTGAAGTTTAGGAAAGAACCTATGAAGGATAAAAAGCCATACTGGAATTTGTGATACAACTGCGATACATTACACAAACAATACTACAAGCATCGTGTTTCACAGCTATCAAAGAAAAAATAAATTACTGTACTAAAAAACACAAACTAACCTGTTCCCAAAATATGTGTTGTTGATCTTCTTTCCAAGTCTCAACCTCCATGGCTGCATCATACATGAGACTCTTGCGTTGGTGCTGCCACCGTGAGAGCAAGTCTCTTTGTCCGTGCCTCTGCTTTTTTACCTTGTACTTTTTGTTTTTCCCATCTTCCACATAGTAGCCGCTGGACCCGTCATTTTGGTTGGACCAGGGTATCCTGTGCTCCTTTTCATATTCGCTCGCATCGTCACTTGAGGATGCCGAGGAGAGATAGTCCATCATGATCAATGCTCTTCCAGTGCCGAAGTTCTCCTTTATCATTGGTGGATAATATTGAGTGTTACTTTCATTCTCAAGTGAGACAGAGAGTTGGATGATAACTCCTAGCACTGGTTCCTTGGCTGGAGACCAAAGTAAAGGATTTAACATGACCGGCAATAGGGGAAAACTCCCCTCGACCGTGATTGGCGTTTCAGGTGTGAGACAATCTCCTGCGCTTTCAAATGAGCTTAGATTTATGTTGCTAGTTGCCAGGCAGACATCGCCAATGAGGAGATGGATGGGAAACTCTGGATGCTGCTGAAAGTACGAGGACACATTCAGCGACGTGGAACGCACTTTGCCTGCTGCTCTCTCTGCTAGAAAGTCAGGGTTTGTGAGGTCTTTTATTGAGTCGGTGTAGACAATGTGGCCCAGCAAGGAGTAACAGAAACGCAGCGTGTCCGACTCGGCCACTTTGAGGTCTTTGGGAAGGACCTGTAGAAGCAAAATCTAGAATGAATGTTCACAGAACAGCAAATACTTCAAACATTATGCATTACATTAATTATTAAATGTAACAAAATGACTGGCAAGTCAGTAAATAGAATTACTATGAAACATACAAAACCATAAAAGATACACAAGACATAGTTAATAATGCTACTACTTGGAAAGTTACTTATAAATACATTTTGCTTCCCCTGTTACCAAGACCAGCCTGTGCTACAGAAAGTGAACTAATTCATTTTGTACATTTTTTGCATAGCTATTTTTTATAGGCACATAAAAAAACTATTTTTTTATACATCATTTGTGTTTCGATATCCAATTAGTTTTTAGTGTATCACTTCCTATAAGAAAATTCAGGAAACCTGACAATAGCACAAACAGTGCAAATTTGAGGAAATATGGATCATCTGAAATTATTTAACCCGGATTTTGGACGTGTGTCTGTAAACAAATCCCCCTATAATTCCCATCCTCTTCCCCCCATTCCACTCTTTTCCTTATAGTATACTGGTTCCACAGTTACCTTTGTCCAATCATCAAGTACCTCACCCTCCTGACTTTTGTTAAGATATTTCTTTGCATTATCTCATCCCAATATGTGAACATATTTGCAGTTGTTCTATGTATACCATAAGCCTTTCCCTTCTAATACCCGTTCGCAGCCTATCTAATTTCAAGCCTGTGCATCATCTTGTGTTCCACTGGTTCTTCCACCATCTCCATTCACTCCAAACATGTTACCATTTCCTATTCTTTGTTATTTATAACAATACACTTAAAATATTCGTGGCATCCATTAGTAACGTGATGCACACCTCGTCACCATAGCACTCCCTATATCTTTTCTCTCTATTTAAAAATAATGCATTACTTCTTAACCCTTACACTGCTCCACTCACCAAATGCTATTCCCCCAACCCCCATCTCATTTGTTAACAGCTTTAAACATGCTCACTTCAATGTAGTACTCTTTTTAACCCTTATGCTACTACAGCCTTAACCCTTAAACTGTGCCTGGCATACATATATGACTGGACCTGATGGTACCACCAGTCCAATTTCTCAAACCTGCTCAAACGCTTTCCATTTTTTTTTTTTTTTTTTTTTTTTTCATAATCTACTAGCAAATCCTGCAACTTTGTCTAAATGATCACAAATATAACTTGAAAAATAAGAAAATAAAAAATAATTATAAAACTGAATACTGAAAACTTCAGATTTTCAAATCAGCTACAAAAATATAAAATATCACCAATGTTTATTTGGTGTTATTATTATGCTCTCAGAATAGCATATCTTCTTTTTCATAGATTTAGAATACAGGTTTTAAGTTTAGTTACTGTATAAAAAACCCAGCATTGAATGTAATGAAATGCCGTTTTCTTCATGAGTCCCGGAGGCTCCCTAAAGCTATCCAGGCTGATAATATTATCCCTAACTTTGGCATCAGTCGATGTAGGTAGAGTCCTAGGCCTACCGGGGACCACGAGCCAGAACCTGGGCCCCCCTCAGAGAAGCACGAGGAGCAATGGCGTATAGAATGCCCATGTGATTTTGAAGCATTCTATATCTGCCATCGACCGGGGCAGGCACCCAAAAAGGTAAGGGCCCCAAAACAAATCCCTATTCTGGTTAAAAAGACAAAATTAGACTAACGAGTGGACAAAACTCCCCAAATAAAAATGAGCAAACGAGCATGACATCATATGAGCTGTGCCGCATGTCTGTGCAGCTCCCCCCCCCCTCCCCGGGAGGGGGAATCTTGAGGTTATCTTGAGATGATTTTGGGGCTTAGCGTCCCCATGGCCCGGTCCTCGACCAGGCCTCTTTTTTGTTACACACCCCCAGGAAGCAGTCCGTAGCAGTTGTGTAACTCCCAGGTACCTATTTACTGCTAGGTAACAGGGGGCAGCAGGGTGAAAAACATTTTGCCCATTTGTCTCCGCCTCCAATGGGGATCGAACCCGGAACCTCAGGACTACGAATCCGAAGCGCTGTCCACCCAGCTGTGAGGCGCCCCAAGGGGGGAGCCCCAGACCCTCCGCACCGGCGATCCACCCTGCAGTTCTGAGGCTGGATGTCAAAACACGCAAAAACCGCCAACTGGAGGGAGGGTTGCCGGGGAGCCTCAAGACTCACCCAGAAAATGGCGTTTCATTATATTCAACACTGGTTTTCTGGAGGGAGCCCCATTGGCTCCCGAAGCTACTTCACCAAAGACGAAAAGGAAAGAAAGGGGACTTACCCAGGAGGCGGTCAGTGCTCACATCTCAACTCTAAGTCGAGACAACTGGCTGCAACCACCGACCCAAAGCAACACAGACCCGACTAGGCCCAGGAACATTAACGAGGTAGTGTGCAGCCAGAATCCTGTTCAACTGCCAAAAACCCCATGCCAGAATGTCATCCCAGGACATGTTACCAAAGGCAACAGCAAGAGCAGCAAACATACGAATGTCATGGGCACGGGGATAGACTGCAGGCTGGCTAGACTAATAACCCAGTGGACGACTTGAGAGACCCAAACCCGTGAACAGGGAAGAAGGGAAACCAGTTCAACACAAAGAGCGACCCCAGACACAGAAGCCGTGGCGCGGAAATAACAGCAGAGGGCTGTAACCGGACACAACACATGATGCACTCCCAGCTTGACCAACCAAGCATCAACAACCCAAGGAGCCCTCCAGAAGGCAGCAGTCTCGTTCTTCGCCAGAAAAGAAGGAGACGGCTGCAAACGAACAAACCTATCACCACGACCGAAAGGACAGGAACCCCTGCGCCGGAGGAGAGAATGAAGCTCCCCAACCCGACCCCCAGAGTCCAATGCCAACAGGAAAAAAAAGAGCCTTAGAAAAACAATCCTGAACCGAAGGGGTCACAACAAACTGAGGAGAAGAACGATAGGAGAGCACTCTATCCAAAGACTAGGACGGCTCAGGCGGCGCATGAGCAGGCCAGAGGTGAAACAACGCACGAAACAGCTTGTGAAACGGTGCAGAAGTAACATCTATACCAAAAGCAAGCTGAAGCGGCTCTGCCAGCGCCGCACGATACGAGGCAACAGTATTTGACATAAGATGACGGTCCTGGAACAACCACGAGAGAAAGGACAACACCACCCGAACCAAAAGCGAAGTACAACGATGAAGAGTCAAAAAGAAACGGAAGGACCGCCAGGAAACTTCATACTGCCACCAAGACGAAGCCAGCAGGTGGGACACCATCAACGAACCCAAACCCCTAGCAGAAGCAAGCTAGTCACCACAACCCGGGTAAGGCATGTGAAAACGTGAGGTGCCAGATTCAAGTTGAATGGAAGGCAACGAAAGCGGTATGCCTGATGCCCCATGACAAAACCAAGCCAGTACCTGACCTCAGATGAATCGGGATGTGCCAATACGCATCCCGGAGGTCCAGACACACCATCCAAGCATCTGGCTCCAAAAGAAGCCAGACCTGGGGCAGAGTGGTCATCTGAAAGGAAGGGCAAAAGACCCAAGGGTTCAGACGTGACAAGTCCAGAATGAACCTCAGATCTACACAATTATGTTTCGGAACTGGAAATGGGCAGGAAACCCACCTGAGGGGCAGGGTCGTTTTGACCATGCACAAGTGCATCCACGCCAAGATGACCTGACAGCGCAGGAGAAGAGGCCTGCCCCGCAAACCCGGACACCCCCTCCCCTCCCCGAAGGAGGAGCCACCCATAGCCACTGCAGGCCGGAGGAAACGACCCGAAATGCCCACAAAATAGTGGGACCAGGCGCGAGCAAAAAGAGTTAGTCCCCCCCCCCATCGCCCCGTCAACAGGGCGAACCAAGAAAGGGCCGACACTCCTTACGAGAACCCAAATGATGATGTGTTGCTCCCCTAACAGCAACAATACTACCCCCTACCCAAGGTCAAACAGCAGATATGAAAACCCCAGCTGACCCCAAGGACGAGAAATCACCGAGCAGCAAAAGATCCTTACGGAGGTAGTTCCCGGACGATTTGTGGAAGGCAACTCCTAGCCGCAAGAGCAGTACAGTACTTAAAGGGTACCCAGGGAAGGCGCATGCAGCCGCAGTACTCTCAGAATTATTCCTGGCTCGCACACCACTACACAGCAGAACAACACCGCAAAGGTACAACACTGCTCAGAGACAGGAGCCAGAGTCGAACGATTGCCACACTACACATCAGCCTCAGAACTGGGGTTAGATGGCTGGTGCGAGGGGTTCTGGGACTTCCCCTTCCCCCTCCTTGGGAGGAGGGAGCTGCACAGATAGCAGCACAATGGCAGTTGTGATATCATGCTTGTTTGCTTGTTTTCAGATTGAGGAGTTCTACTTGATAGTTCGGTTTCCGGTAGCTCTTAACCAGGTGTAGTTTGTTTTGAGATGCCTATCTTTCTGATGCCTAACCTGGTAGATGGCAGACATAGAATGCTTCTATGACCAATTATAGAATGGTCTGATGAGTCATTATATTAAATGTAGGTCTCCATTTTTACTTGGGGGGGGGGGGTTGCCTAGGGTCTGATGGGTCATTATAGTAGATGTAGGCTTATTTTTTTTCCTCGGAGTTAGGTTGCCTGGGATCTGATGGGTCAAATGAAGAAACAAAACGAATTGGCCTCTCTCCATATACAGTAGTTCATTCAAACGAGGATACACTGTACAGTGGAACCTTGAGTAACGAACATCCCTCTTTACAAATTTTTCAGGTTACGAGCTCAATTTCTTTATAAAATTTGAATCTGTTTATGGACTTTACCAGTGTCTCCCGCCATAGTGATGATCACGTTTGAATATTGTATTTGGGAGGACAACAGGAAGGATGGTGAGGGGGACTGGATGGATGGATGGATGGTGAGGGGGACTGGATAGATGGATGGATGGTGAGGGGGACTAGATGGATGGATGGATGGTGAGGGGGACTAGATGGATGGATGGATGGTGAGGGGGACTAGATGGATGGATGGATGGTGAGGGGGACTGGATGGATGGATGGATGGTGAGGGGGACTGGATAGATGGATGGATGGTGAGGGGGACTGGATGGATGGATGGATGGTGAGGGGGACTGGATAGATGGATGGATAGATAGATGGATGGATGGATGGTGAGGGGGACTGGATGGATGGATGGATGGATGGTGAGGGGGATTGGATGGATGGATGGATGGTGAGGGGGACTGGATGGATGGATGGATGGTGAGGGGGACTGGATGGATGGATGGTGAGGGGGATTGGATGGATGGATGGTGAGGGGGATTGGATGGATGGATGGTGAGGGGGACTGTACGGATGGTGAGGGGGACTGGATGGATGGTGAGGGGGACTGGACGGATGGTGAGGGGGACTGGACGAATGGTGAGGGGGACTGAACGGATGGTGGGGTAATTGGATGGATAGATGAATGGATGGTGTGGGAACTGGATGGAAGCGGCCTGACAGCTGAGTGGACAGCGCTTCGGATTCGTAGTCCTGAGGTTCCGGATTCGATCCCCGGTGGAGGCGGAAACAAATGGGCAGAGTTTCTTTCACCCTGATTGTAAGAGAATGGTCTCTCAAGATTTTCCCACAGCTGACTTGAATGGCTCATTGCAGTGCACAGTGCACCGATCGTGTGCACAAGCCCTATTTCTGTTAACCCTGGATAATAAACTGGCATGTTGGGTATCTCCAGAATGCCCACTTAACCAGGAATACGTTTATAATACGGAGGCCGCCATATGTCCAGGCAGGAAGTAGATACAGGGAAGTTAAGCATACTTGCCACAAAGGGTCAGTGAGTTTGGCTGGTGCCAGCGTGAGAGACAGGGGAGACGCCAGCGAGGCGACCGTCTGACCTCTGGGGGTCAACCAGCGCGATGGAGAATAACAGCTATGACATGGTCGTGACGTGTTCATGACGTCACCTCTGCTACTGATCAGGGAATGGTCATTATGATTGGTCCCCGCTCATTTGCTGCAATGTTATTGGTCAAATTGTAACTCTTGTGTGTGTCCGACGAGATGCCTGGAGCCGCTGGCAAAAGCATTCTCATGAGGGAGCCCTTACACAGAGGACGTGTCCTGTTCTGTCTATCGGACAATAGACTGAACACCGTCCATTCATCACCGTCAAGTTAAACTCAGCGTCTTTTCGATATACCAACATTCGCCCGGAATCGCGACTATGATATATTGTTTAGAAGCCTAGTGGAAAAATCACCAGAGCAAAACAGACTGGTATCAGGTAACCCCTGGTGACAAGTGGAGATCGTCTGTGAGTGACCTGGAGTGAACTAAGGAGTGCCGCTGCCTAAGTAACCTGTGTGTGACTTTACCACAAGTGTACCCTGCATGGTACCACATAACCTGCAGTAGCCAGCCGTCACTCGGTTCAGAGCGTATAGCTATTACCTCTGTACCTCGTGTAGCCTCGAGCCGCCCACCGCCGCCCTCACTGTACCACGTGACGTCACCACCCTTACTCACTGCCAGTGCCAGAGTGTGTGCGTGTGTCAGTTATACATACAGCGCGTCCTCCTGCGAGTACCCCCTGTACGGTTTGTGGAAAAACCTGTCGTCAATGTTCTCACTTCAGAACGAGGAAACCAGCTATCAGGCCAGCCACCTACGAGTTCTTGCATAAATGTGCCTGAGTGAGTGAATGAATAAGAGAGGTACCCTATCTGTAACTACAAGATCTTGTCATTGTTTTATTGTGTCTGTGTTGATCGGAGGTATCAACCACAGTTCTCACCTACTCATACAATACATTTAGTATTGTGTGACATTATTATTGTGCATGTTATTGCCTGTCCCATTGACAGTGTATTTGTGAGTTATTGCATATCATCATTACCCGAGTATCCGGTTGGAACTCTTGTGACCCCTTTGCATACCGGCAGTTAGGTTGCCGTGTTAATGACTGGCTGTCAACTGTGTTAAGTTAGGTGTTTTCCCACGAGTAGATCTGAATTGTTTAGCCAGACGTCAAGAGTCTCGTTAATACAACCATAGCCTTTCTGACGCCAATCTAAAGTAAATAAAGCACCCTTTGTATTAGTGGTTAAGTTAGTAAATAAACTACTGTTAAGCTTTATGTGGTGTTTCCGTGGAACCACTTCTGAATACTGCCAATTAATTACTCAAGCCTTCAGCTCTAGGTGTCTTCAACACCGAGTTGCCTATATTCACTAATCTATAAATGTGATGAGGACCCTAGGAGTCCCTTAAAGTGTTAAATCATTGAGGAGATTCCAACGATCAACGTGGACCAGGACCAGGTGAGGCTAGTCTGAGAAGAGACCCTCAAGGACTAACTCAACCTTGCTCCCAGGCCCTGTACGGTTGCTCTCGTATTTTCTATTCTGCTAATTCCGACAGTTTCGTGAAGCGTCTGCCACATGTACATTGGCGACGTACGCATTGCAGTCGTGAAAGCAAAAAAGAAAACCCCCACACTGATGTCCCTCTTACCTAGCAGTAAATAGGTACCTGGGAGTTAAGACAGCTGATGACCAGACCACACACTAGAATGTGAAGGGACGACGACATTTTGGTCCAGGACGGACCAAAACGTTGTCGTCCCTTCACATTCTAGTGTGTGGTCTGGTCATCATACTTTAGCCACGTTATTGTGACTCATCGCCTGCTTAAGACAGCTGCTACGGGCTGCTTCCTGGGGGATGTGTAACAAAAAGGAGGCCTGGTCGAGGACCGGGCCGCAGGGATGCCAAGACCCGAAATCATCTCAAGATAACCTCAAGATAAGAATTGCACTTAAAAATATTTATTCAAAATACAATTGAGACCATTAAGTTAAGTTTGAGACCATTTTTTTTTTCCATTCACCCATATTTATTCTATTTTTCCCCCTGAGTCATACAACAAAATTAACTTGTACAGTATATCTTTATCCAAATTACAGAAACAGATATCAATAATAAAATTAATTTGATATTCTGTACAGTATATCTATGGAATTATTATATATTAATATTTTATATTTTGTAAATACTGGGTATTTTTAATTCCTTTGCAGATATGAAACTAAATTATTTTTGTCAAACATTGGGGAGAGCGGTCACTCGGAACTGAGAAAAACTGCACATTCCATGGTCTAAACATTAAATACTAGACAAAGTCCATTCAGGTTTAAGAAATAAATAAGCATACCTGGTCAAGGTTCTTTGCATACACTATGGTGACAGAGAAGTGGAAGGTTTTTTCATCCGGATCACCGATGGGACCAATCTGAAAGAAGCCACCATTTTCATTCAGCCGAGGAATTATTTGTGTCATCTCCGTACTGGGTTTAGATCTACCAATCGTTCCACTCGAGGTGCTCGGAATTGCCATAACAAAGTCATTCTCATTTGCTGCTTGTGAAGTCGACTTATGGCCATTTTCTTTAATGGAGCTGTTGGGTGAACTCAGAACACCAGATTGTTGATTTGTTCTCCTGATTGGAATACCACCAGCCGGGGAATAAGTACCACCACTTTGGTTAACACTTGGTTGAATATGGCTATCTTTACTCGGGCTGGTCATAGAGTGCCGAGAAATACCTCTTGGACTGGTGTATGCGGGATGTTCTGCATTTTGACTATGCGCCGCCGACTGGTTCTTGCAACTTCTCAAGTTGCGTGTTTTAGCATTAAACCTATTCTCAGAGTCATCACGGTCCTCATCATCAACAGAGTATTCCCGCACCTCCTGTTTGACTTCCCCTACGGCCCGTAAATTATTGACACTTGAACGAGAAGTGAGTCGAGTTGCCATCCTGGTCAAATCTTTGTCCATAGTCATGATTTCTCCCTTTGTGGAGGGATGTTTCTCTTTTGTTTGAAGATCCGTATTCTTTTTACTATCACATAACATGCCACTTCTTGAGTCAAGTGAACGATTCAAAACTTCTTGAACTGAATTCACAGAATTTTGCCTTTGAACACCACTCGACTTGGATACCGAGCGACGAGACGGAAAGTTCAATTCTCTGATGTTCTCACTATCAATATGCAGCTCATTCTCCTGGCACACGTTCATAGGTTCAGCTCCCTGAAAAAAATTAATTAGAATAATTATAAGAAAAAAAACAGAATGATAATGAACAAGCCATATACTGTATATTAAAAGGAAAGTAATATCATCATGGACTGCAAGGCAGTGGCTTATCTAGGGTATGGCAAGTATGGCACATGCCCTGGGCGCAACTTGAAGGCGGCGCTAAAAAGTACTTTCTATTAAGTTAAATTCTGATGAGCTATCTTCGTATAATGAAAAAAAATTCTTCAGATGTATGATCTATCTTTGATTATATTATTATATGAACTAGCTGTACCCAGCCACACGTTTCTGTGAGCTGAGCCACAGCAACCTTCCCCTATCTCCCAGTCCTTCCCACCATCCCCCACTCCAGCGTCTCCTCGTCCTCCTAACTAATCCCACTCCCCCATCCCCTTATTCTCCCTACCATACCCCCCCCTTTCCCCTGTCCCCTCGTCCTCCCCACAATCCCCCACTCCAGCGTCTCCTCGTCCTGATCACCAACAAATGGCGAGAGACTTGAGGCAGAACCGAACCAGCCCCGCCACGGACCGATCGAGCACAGGAAGAGGTGGAGCCGCATGAAACCCTCGGGTGCGAACACCGAGTAAGCAGAGCCGGAAATCCAAGCCGGCAAGGAACCAGACGGAACGTCTGCTGTACAGAAAACTTCCCAATGCTAGCGAGCTCGCCAGGAGATCAAAAACACTGTGGTTCCGAGGCGAGAATCGTGAGAAGTGACACCACGAGATCATGAAGATGCCAACTGGCTGAGCAAGCCAGGAAACTGGAACCCAAACCCGGCAAGCCGGGAAAGAACCAACCCAAGCGAGCAGACATGCCCCGCCCGAGAGGAACCCCATGGGACCCCTGAAGGACCAACAAGTCTGACAACCGATGACAACTAGAAGCTGCCATCAGAAAAAACGCCGAATCGCAGACGCCGCAAACAGCAATGACATAATCGAGATGAAAAATGAAAAGCCAGGGCCCAGACCGAGGCCAACGAGGAAGCGAGCACTGCAAACAGAAACACAAAGCAGGGTTACCGCAACCCACAGGAGCAGCAAATGCAGCCCCAGCAGAGCAGAACGAAGCACGCAATACCGAGGAAGGTATGAGAAACTATGACGTGAACCGCACGAAAACAAAAACGCACCGCCCGAAAAGGAACACAAAGAAAAAGGCCAGAGTCAGGGCCTGAAACCTCTCACCTCCCGGCCCAATGAAAAGAAACTGGAGGGGCAGGAGAGGAAGAATGGAAGCTACAATCACCTGCATGCAGGGCAACCCAGAAGCTAGACGTGCCAAACAAGAAGATGAAAACTCAGAACCAGAACCGAACACAGGGGCGGTGCACAAGCAGGGAACAGAGAATGGACAAAGTCCAACTTAGCATTAGTAGAGCCAAGAAGCACATACTAAAACACACAACAATGTGAAGGAGTGAATGAGATAAAATGGAAACTGCAAGAAAAAGACCAGAAAAACAGCCCAAGCACCAGCAGCTAGGGACAAGAGTGTAGAAGGAAGATGAGGAACGAAGAAGACAGCCAGCAAGCGGGACCGAAGAGTCATGACCTACTACACACACAGAAGCCAATGTATATGGAAGGGCTCAGCCAGGCACTGCACGACGATCAAGGAATGAGTGTCAAGTATAAGACCACGAAAGACGGGGCAGTGCCCCACCGTGTAACAAATAACACAGACGAACAAGGAAGGCCACAGGAAAAACAATCCCAAGGAAACAAGCAAACACTTTACTGCCGCGCCGGTCGTCCGCGCAGCCCTACCCTCCCCGAGAGGAGAAGGGGGGGGGGGGGCCTCGGACCTCACCACGCCGGCTGCCTATCTTGAGGTTATCTTGAGATGATTTCGGGGCTTTAGTGTCCCTGCGGCCCAGTCCTCGACCAGGTCTCCACCCCCAGGAAGCAGCCCGTGACAGCTGACTAACACCCAGGTACCTATTTTACTGCTAGGCATAGGGTGAAAGAAACTTTTGCCCAATCGAACCCGGGACCATGGGATCACAAGTCCAGTGTGCTGTCCGCTCGGCCGACCAGCTCCCTTAGCATCAGTTCGGAAACTAGGCTACAACCAATGCTAAAAAAACGCCAACCGGTGGGAGGGAGGGTTGCCAGGGAGTCTCTGGGGCTCACCCAGAAAATGGCGTTTCATTACATTCAACGCAGGTTTTCTGTGGTGAACCCCTATGGCTCCCTGGAGCTACATACTCAAAGAGAAGGAAATAGGGACTTACCCGGGAGGCGGCGGCCACAAACTCCTCAACGCGAAGTCGAGACAACTGGCTGCAACCTGCGACCCAAAGCAACACAAGAACGCCGAGGAGCAGGCACGTTCACCAAATAACGGGCGGCCAGGACCCTGTTCGACTTCCAAAATCCCCGAGCCCAAATGAGCCCAAGACATGTTACCAAACACGGCAGCCAAAACTGCAAACTTCCGAACGTCATGGGCGCGAGGATAGACCGAACCGCACGGAGAGCCAAACCCCGAGAATCCAGCAGACGAACCACTCGAAGGGACCAACCCCAAAAAGGCATGGACCAAAGAGAACCCCCGCAGTTCAGGCAATGAACCACCGGAGAACAGTTCGAATGGAGCTGGATGGTCGATCCCCGAGTGACCCAAACCCTCCGAAGAGCGAACCAGATTGCCACGAATTCCTGAACCGTGCTGTGAGGCTGACAGAAGGACGGATCCCACCGTCCCTGGTCGGCCTGGTGAGCACTGGTCACAAAGCCCCAGCCAAGAGACAACGCGTCTATGAAGACATCGAGCGAAGGCTCGGGAAGGCGCCAAGGCACCGAACCCCGAAAACCCCAAAGAGGAAGCCGGTAACGCAGCAACCGACATAAGGCCCCCGGAGGATGAACCCAACGATTGCGAGAGAGGCAGAAGGGGCGTCCCCAAAGGAACCAAAACAGACGCTGAAGCCAAACCCAACCAGGCGGGTAGACTAGCACGGCGAAGTTCAGACTCCCGCACAACTGCTCGAGCAACCGCCGAGTGACCCGGGACCCCCATCAAAAACAGCCAACAGCGGGACCGCAGCCACAGCAACGCCTCTGGAGGGAGACACAAGGAAGCGGTCCGAGAATCCCAAACAAGACCCAGCCAGGTCCGAACCTGGGACGGAACCAGATGGGACTTCCTCCAGTTCACCAGAAACCTGAACCTGGCGAGCTGGGAAAGAATCATATCCCTGGCAAGCAGACAAGCTGACCAACTGGGAGCCCTCACCAGCCAGTAGTCGAGGTAGGCCAAAACCCGAATCCCTAGAAGATGCAGACAGGTCACCACAAACCGGGTCAGACGCGTGAAAACGCGAGGTGCCAGATTCAAGCCAAAAGGTAGACAGCGAAAGTGGTAAGCGTGACGCCTCACCATGAAACCTAACCAGTCCCTGAACCCCCGGATGAATAGGAACATGCCAGTAAGCGTCCTTGAGGTCCAGGGACACCATCCAGGCACCCGGCTCCAACAGAAGCCGGACCTGAGACAGAGTAGTCATCCGAAAGGAGGGGCAAGGAATCCAGGGGTTCAGACAGGACAAGTCCAGAATGAACATCAGGGCGAACCGCGAAAGGGCAGACGCCCCTTACAAGAACCCAAATGTCGAACAGGGCGAACACCGCGCTGACTAGACGATGCCAGCACCGAAGAGAACGTCGGCTCAGAAACTGGCACCAATGGCCCACCTCGACCAGCGGAACCCGGAAACCCAGGCACATTCCCTCCGAGATTGCCGAGAACGACCACCCCGGAGAACTAACAAGTCCGACATAGGACGACAACAAGACGAAGCCGCTTGCAGAAACTGTGAGACCGCAGCCTCTGCAAACATCAACGGACAAAAGCCGGACGTCACGCGAGGCGAGAAGCAAAAAACAGAGACACTGCTTCCTTCAGGTTGGGAGCAAAAAGCCTCAACAGTGCAGTTTTGCCCTAGCTGCTGAAGTCAGCGCCCCAGACGAAGACCCTTCACTCAACGCTCCCACATCCTCCTCAAGCCAGGCAAAAGACAGCTAGAGATGGGAAAAGAAATGTAAGACCGAAGCCAAATGCCCACGGGCGCGCAAATCCTCCGCAACCAACGAAGCCGAAAGAAGAAAGACCTGCACGTGAAGCTGGAAAAGGCCAACATCCCGAGAAAGCACGGGAGCGAACAAGCACACATTAAGGTGCTCAAACTCGCCCCCAGATAAACCTGCATAAATGTAAAAGTTTCCCGCCAATCAAGTGTGCGGGTCCGACAGAACCCATGCCATGCCCTCAATGAAAAGAAAGGCAGTCTGCCAGCCAGGAAGATGCCAGAACCTCCAAACGCACCCAAAAGCGGGTAGAAGAACCGAACTCAAACAAGGACGGATCCATCACAGAGGCATAAACCAGGTCTCGCAAGAGGTATGCAGCAAGAGCTTCCCGAGCCTCCTTCGCGGAGATACGGGAAGTAGAAAAGACTCGAGCCGAGGTACCCAAAGGAGCCCGGAGGCGAACTCAAATCATTCTCATACTGGGAAGGGGGTAAGAAAACCCCTCACCCTGCAACAATAAACCCCGCGAGGAAGGCAAAAGCACCCAAGCGGGGTCAAAGGGGGCCCAAGGTCAACTCTTCCCCAGCCCCAAGATCCCCCACGTCGGGACCCGGGGCAGAGCCGTCCCCCAAACCCTCTACCCCTGAAGAAAAGGCAGAGTCCAAGGGAAAGGCAGACAAGAAGGGGGGGGGTCTGCTGGTGGGATCCAGAAGCCTCGGCAGGAGGAACTGGCTCAAATGCCGCAGTGCCCGACCCGAATGAGGCAGCCCCCAAAGCCACCCGAGCCTCATTACCAACTAAACCCTGTGACGAATCCAAAACCATCAGACGTTTTGGAGCCGGGGGGGGGGGGTGCTGGATGAACCACAGGGGAAGGACCAAGGGGCGCAGAAGGAGCCAAAGCCGAAGTGACTAACGCTCCCAGGTCCTGGTCCCTAAATCCAAAACGGG